AAGTTAAGATTAAATAAAATAGGGCTCATAAATAAAGCATCCAATTTGGTTGCGACTGAGTCAGAAAATGCTTTAGGAAAGGACGATGAGTTTGCAAAACACGCAAAAGACTTTAATGACCAGATGAAAGGTGAAACAATGCATTTAAATAGATTCGATGGAACTAAAGAAAATGTTTCTTCTCCACCAGTAGTTCTTCCGTATGGTCCCTATGGAATGTATGGAAACCCTTACGAAAGACCATTTGACCCATTGACTGGTGGAAGTAACTGGTATCATTACGGACGAAGAAGAAAGACAGTCAAGTTGGAGACAGACGTGAAGAAAGCAACTAAAAAGAAACCAAGGAAGAGAGTTATAAAGTAATGAGAACGTTTATGTTATGAGAAATTTTTAACGTTAGTTTTATTTTTACTGAAAATTTTTATTTGGATGTAATGACGAAAACTATTGAGATAACAAACTACAACGGTCATGAGTTCAAGAATTTGTTCTTCGTTCCGCGTGAAAATACATTCTATCAGATACGAGGGAGAAAGGGTAAAGTTAGTTTGAGCGTTTATGATAGTAAACATAATGGAAGATATATACAAGCAGTAGATACAAACGGTAAGCGTGTTTCATTAGCTTTGTCAAAACTTACTAACATTTATTTTGACAGTGACTTTGACCTATATGAAGAAGAAAGTGAGTCAGAAGATTATGAGCTGTTATGTGAAGCACAGCAATGGGAGGAGTTGCAATACTTTTGTAAGTGAGAACATTAATGGGAACGTTAGTGAGAACGTTAGTGAGAACGTTAGTGAGAACGTTAGTGAGAACGTTAGTGAGAACGTTTATTTTTTCATGCACGTGCATTGTGTCGCGGGGAGTTGCCATGGGCAATGACCTGCGCACAATATATAACGTACAGAGAGGTGAGATGAGGTGGTTTATGTGATAAATACTTTACGTGGCAGAAATAGTTTAAGGTTATTAGAAATATTGCATCTGCGATGTAAAATATACGTTAGTGGTTTTGTAAAGTGTCAGATTGACATATCTTCGGTAAGATGGCGCGCAGTGCCACCGTACTGAAGATATGTATACTAACTGACAAATCTTATGTTACCATGCAGCTCTGCAGCTATAACAAAACGAGAATATTCTAAATATCCTATGGCTTGATCAACCTCGCATGGAGGATCGGGTGGAGGATGTTGCATTGAGCAGCAAAAAGGAAAAATAAAATTGAAAACTCACATTGAAAAAATAACGGTTTAATAGAAAATATTTTTTTCTTCTGAAAAAGAATTATCTTTGAGTATCTAAATTGGGATAAAGGATATAGAATAGATAACTAGTACTTAATATATGATACATGTACACGAAATGGAAGAATGTGTACTAAAAGAAAGAGAAATTTTAGCTTAATATTTTACATACGAATCAATTATCTTTGGTTAAAAGGTAGAATTGTTGGCTATGATGTACTGATTCATGATCAGTACATCATAGCCAACAATTCCTTATACAAAGTTCAAAAACTTGGGTGCAATCAGTTCTGATTGCACCCAAGTTTTTGAACTTTCTCGAGGGAATGAAAGGGTAAGAGGTATACATTATGAATATATACCTCTTACCCTTCCATTCCCTCTCTGACAGCGGGAAACTTTGTCTGAATGTTAAACTATTCAGACAAAGTTTCCCGCTGTCAGCGAAAGAATTGTTCCATCTGGTGCATAGAGTGTGAATCTATGCACCAAATGGAGCAAGTCCCTCGCGAAATTGCCAAAACTTGCGTCGCATTTCAAAGATTGCGACCCAAATTTTGGCGATTTCTAGTAGAGATGGAGTATTTTGAGTCACTGACCTATATGCAGTGGCTCAAAGGGCTTCATCTCTACTTTGAAGCAAGGAAACTTTCCTCGAAATTTTGATAATTTGAAGAAAGTTTTCAAGCAATTAACAAAGGATTACTCGCTATGAGGTAAAAATTCTAGATTTTCACCTCATAGCGAGAGCTTCCCTTTCATTGCTTGAAAACTTTCCCCAGCTTCAAAATTGGGGAAAGGGCTGTAAAGTCGACTCCGATACCAGCAGGTACCAGAGTATTTAAAAGAGAAGCCCTCGTACAAGTTTCTATGAAGACCTTCTCATTCAAGAAGATCTTAATAGAAAATCGTACGAGGGCATTGGAAACTCGCGTCTGGTACATGTTGGTACCAGAGTGTTTGAGATTTGAAGACTCTGGTACTAACATGTACCAGAATTTATGATGAATTTAAGATGGACCATTATAAAATGGTAGCGGTTTGTTTCAAAAAATTTTAGATGAGATTTGCATAGATATAGATTATATGATTTATACATATGAAAAATAATATATAAAAATATAATTTTGAGATAATTATGTAAATAATATTTTAAATATTTGAATTTGAGGTATAATTTTATAGTAAAATATATTATAAAGAGTATTTATATAAATATTGTAAAATAATATAAGTAATAAAAATTGAGACTCCTCCCTGTTTTTGATGTTTTGTCACTTTTTCGGTAATTCTTATTGTTTCGCCATTTACTCTTCGATAGAGTAAATCGAGTTGCATCTGGGTCAATAGCCCAAGATTTTTATAGTTTTCTAATTCTGCAAACTCGGGAATTCGTGTTCTTGGTTGCATTTTTTTTAAACGGGAACTTCACAAATTTGATTCATGGCCATAAAAACTCATTCAATTTTTCTGAGATTTTTTTTCGTCACACACTCAAAACGCAGAGGACCATTCTTCTCAAAATTGAATTATTTTCTCAAATATTGAGTGAGTAAAATGGGCACGTTGTGTAAATTGATTCAAAAATTTTTATTGGTACACGACCTTTTGTTTCGTACCGAAATGGCTAACAAAAAAGTGACAGAAAACCTTAAATTGTGCGGCAATTTTAATTAAAAAAATAAACATTAATTTTTGTGATTGATATTATGCATTTTATTTATATTATATAAGATTTAAATTTAGGGGAAAAATTGGAAAAAAATAAGATTGGAAGTCTTTAGGTAAGAAGGAAAGGGCAAGAGATATATAGTGTACCTATATACCTCTTGCCCTTTCATTCTAAGTAGAAATGGGAGAAACTTTGTCCGCATCATAAGTTTCTCCGATTTCTAATGGGAATTGCAGGCTATGAGGCACTGATATATAATCAGTACCTCATAGCCTACAATTCCCCTTATTAGACTTCCAAACTTTGAGTTAATGTCTTGACATTAACTCAAAGTTTGGAAAACTTCTCGTAAGAATCAATCGTCAAAAACCTCGATTGCAGTTATATTCATTGTGTTAAATTTGATTTATTTTGAAATTTTTATAAATTAAATTTTATATAACATAAAGCGTTATGAATTAGTATTTCCATATGAATTTTATCTCGAAAATAGTAATTCTGTACAGTTATATTTCGGTTAATTTTGGAAATTTCTAGGAATACTTTAAGATAGTATGATTATATATAACTCTGCCTTCATGATTTATTTTAGCTTTCGCGCAAATATCAGTTAACTTAACTCCATTATTTGATTTTGTGATGGCTTCACAAAGCCAATCAATATCAATCTCTTCTGGAGAATGTCTTCTCATCTAGAATATTTTCAATACTTTACATACAAACATTTTTATTTCTAAAAAACTTTTTAATTTTTTCTAGGATATATGAATGAAAATAGTTAGAACAAGATTTTGAAGCTCAAAACATTAAAAATTATTAAAGATTTGTATAATATGATTAAAAATGGGAAATAATATGAGGCAATATAAAGGAATATGAATATTAAATAAATATATCTAAATAGAAAGAATCAGAAAAATCAAATTATTGGCGCCAAAAATGTCACCTTTTTGGTGAGCCATTTCGGTATGAGATATTGGTACACGACCTTTGAAATTGGTCTCGGGCTATTCAACCTACGGTAATAGATAAGGTCATATGCTTATAATATAATGCTATGCAAAATTCCAAATTTTCGAAATTTTGCATCATAAGTGATCGAGCTAATCAAGAATGAATGGTATTTTCAATTTTTGAATGGGAGTGCGGGACAAATTTGTCAAGTGTCACTTTTTCAATAACCTTAAATTACGCTTTTCTAATTTTTTTAAAAAATAACCTTAAATTATATTTGAAGAAATTATGTCTATGATATATGTTTTATGCTAGAATCTTGGAGTTTTCATGCACTACACAAGAGCTCCAAGGTTCCAAGAGTGAATGCTCAATAGCAATTATAGAGATGTACCTTTTCAAAATGACTTTTACTGATTAAATTTAATCAATAGAAGACATTTTGAAAAGGTACCTCTACAATTAGATATACAATAGATTCAAAGCTTCATTTCAGATAGATTTGAAACTTTGAAACTCTTGGTAGATTTTGAGTGAATGCTGACAATCATCTTTGAGAAGGTTTTCTTTAAGAAAACCTTCTCAAAGAGGTTTCTCAGGAGCCCTGAGGCTCCCTTTCGTAATGATTGGGAGCCTTGGGGCTCCTGAGACGAAGAATGGCTTCGCCGAATCTTTGATCAGCAGAGGCCAAATGAAAAGGCCTCTGCTGATGGATTCTCAGGAGCCCTGAGGCTCCCTTTCGTAATGATTGGGAGCCTTGGGGCTCCTGCAGCAGAGTATCGCTCCGCTCCATTAATTTTTTTTAAAAAAAGTGTCGTGTGGCAAATTTGTCCTGTTCCCTTTTGCATGGTATTTTTGTGAGCACCTCTTAACAATAAGTGTCTGAACATTCAAAGTCTAATTGTATTGTGAGTGTTTATGATCTACATCACGATTCGCTAAAAATTTCATCGTGGAACAAATTGAATGCAAAAGTTGCTATTTAAAGATAAATAGTCGAGCATTTAAGGATAATGAAAAAAAAAAAAAAAGGTAGTGGGGCTTCCAGGGGCTGCGCCCCTTCTAGCCCCTAAAAAACCTAGAGGAGAACTAAAAAATTATATAGTAAGAAATTAAAGTTTTTATTCGATAAGAACGACATCGCTATCGTTTTCTTCTTCCTCCTCCTCTTCTTCATAGTCAGTATCTGATGGCTCTTTGTCAGCCACATGACCAGCAACAAATATTGAGACAAATTGTTTCTTTGGCTTTGTTAGCAGGAACTTTTGATGGTCGTAGAACACGAATTCTACATTTTGAAAATGTTGTGCTGAGTATTCTGTGAAATGGGAAATTGGAATTGGTTCTCCCATGCCAAAACCAGCAATGGACGCGAACAAAACATCGTCTTCGACTCTTGCAGGTTTGTCAATTGCAACAGTAGTTATTATGTGAGGTTTTCCTTCACATCCTGCAAGAGATTGTACATGATAGATTGCTTTTTCTTCTCCCTCAGGAACTGAAAGTGTGAAATGGAACGAGAGTTCTCCATATTCATTTGCTTCTTCGTAATAGTTGTATGTTGTAGGATACACCAATTGAAATTTTCCTATTCTTGTTTCCCTCAGGTGTTGTCTATATTGCTTGGGAAAACATAAAATAAATTGCTCTATAGCTTGTGTTGCTATTAGATTAGTTGTAACTGGTAATTTTGAGGCGAAAAGGTCTACAAGAACACCGGGATTTTTTATGTCGTTTTCAATTGGTTTAAGAGATTCTATGACTTTGTTAAACATTTCACTATAATCTGTGTTGTCTTCGACCCCCCAATTGTTAAGAAGTTTATACAACAATTTCAGTCTTTTCATGGCGTATTTTCTTTGAATGGATTCGGGTAGCGAGAGGTTACAGTCGTCGCTTTGTGTTTCGTTACTCGAATATTGTTCAAGAGAAATTAAATCTTGAAATTGTGCTCTTGTTAACATACTTGTAGAACTATGTGAAACTTGTTCTGGTGCTGGTTGTAAATCTGTTTCAGATGTTTCTGTTGTGTTTTGAGAAGAAGAAGAACTCAAATTGTTGGACAATTTGTCTTGAATTGTAGAACTATGTGAAACTTGTTCTGGTGCTGTTTGGACAACTGTATCTGTTGTGTTTTGAGAAGAAGAACTCAAATTGTTGGACAAATTGTCTTGAATTGTAGAACTATGTGAAACTTGTTCTGGTGCTGTTTGGACAACTGTATCTGTTGTGTTTTGAGAAGAAGAACTCAAATTGTTGGACAAATTGTCTTGAATTGTATGAGGAAGTTGCTTTGGTATTATGGGAGGTCGTAAGGGTTTTGAGAATGGTGAGACATAAGTTGTAGGAACTTTAACTGCAGAGGTAGTCGACGAATTGTTTGCGACACTTTTTCTTCCTTCCATTATGAAAAATGAACTGTTTTTTTTTCGGACAACTCATAGAAAAGTTTAAAATAAACCGTTTTCGTCAACGGAGACCCCTTCTATAATTTTATTTTATTTAATAGTTACCGTTGGAAAACCGTTCCATCTCAAATATTGAATGAACTATAAACGTTTTTTGTTTTCTATATATACTTTTTTGTCCAACGGTAAAACTTTTTACACAACGGTTTTTGAGAGTCGTCGCCGTTGACTTTTTTGTAGAGCACTCAAAATAGTATACCTTTGTCCGGACAAGTAAGGGTCTATCGTCGCTACAGGAAAAGTTACAGGCGTTCCAAGGAAGTATACTTTGAGAAGCCTTTTCCCCCTTATAGAATGAGATAGGACGGTTATTTTACAAAACTGACAACACTTTGACCGAGTAGTTTTTTGTGCTGAACAAAAAGTGTCATATAAACATCTGTCAAAAACCGCTTTTTAACTTCACTTAAAATGCCACGTAAGCTACGTAAGAATATACGTAAGAGGAAGGGAGCATTGAAACATCCAATAGTAAAACTGACACCACAACAACAGTTGCAACAACAAATGATGAATGACCCCACTATGTTGCAACAAATGTCAAGCAACCCTATGCTTTTAAACCGAGTTATTAGGTGCACAGAGTGGAGGTTTAAGAGCGGCACTTTTAGCGAAAATGGCAGGGCTATGGTGGAGCTGCAGACGGAACAGCTTATAACCCTCAAAGTCAAATGAATTTGAGTTCACTCAAAAATCAAATAACAGATGTCAAAAAGTCAAACATAGACATACAGAAACAAATAAGTGAAAACGAAAAGAAACTAGAATATGACAGACACACAAAGAAACTCAATGAGTTAAACGTAGAGAAAAAGAAGAAAGAAGAACAACTGAAAGAACTAAGTACAGAGGAATATGCGAAAAAAGTGTCAGAAAAAGCAGCAGAAGTAGCAAAAATGGAACAAGATGTTATAAATTTGAAAAACCATACTACTCAATATAAAGTACTGAAAGATGAAGAGATAAAACAAAAAGCCCTGAAGACATATATGGATAGCGATGAGTATAAAAAAGAAGTTGAAGCAAATGTAAAGGCAGAAAAACTTTTACAGTTGCAAAACCAAACCGTACAGTATGAAAACTTAGCACAAGAAAGTAAAAATAACGACGCAGCCATGCAAAAGGCAATGAAAAGCGCAGAATATATAAAAGCTAATAATGACTGGTTAGATGCCCAAGCCAACGCCAAAGCAGCCCAACTTATAGGGTCAATAAGGACAAAAATACAAGCGGATGAAGACAGTTCAAATGAAGCTTTAATGAATGCTGACTTTAAGAACGCCTTCGAAGCTCTTCATAGTAAGGTGAAACTAGTGAACGACTTCTCATCTGGAAAGAAACTGAAGTCTGAAGGTTTCGACAAAGAGTTAAGAGAAGTAGCACAAAATATGACGAAAATAACAGATGCAGCAACGAGACAGGCAGTTCAAAGTGCCTATGACGCCGTTAGAGCAACTGTTGTGGAAAGTCAAGAAAAAGAGTTACAACAGACCAAAACAGACCTAGTAAATGCTTTCTTAAAACGAAAAGTCAGGTAGGACATTATGCTGCAGATGGAACATATGTGCCAGCTGGTGGAACTTATATACCACCAAACCCTCCAAGAGAAGCACCTGCACCAGGACTACCTAAAACATTTACATCGTCACATGGACACAGACACAGGCATGCACCAAAACCAACACAACAACCAACAGTTCAAGCAACAACCAACAGTTCAAAACACTGCACACAACCAACAGTTCAAAACACTGCACACAACCAACAGTTCAAAACACTGCACAGCAACAAACAAACAGAGCAAGGACATAAAAGAAGTAGAGAACAAGGAAACCAAGAATTCTTAAAAATGCTTAAGGAAATTATGGTTACCCAGATACTCTTGACTTTAGTGACAGATATAAAGAAGCTATTAGAAAGTTCAAGGAAGGAAATACTGACCCGAACCTATTTAGCTTTATGGTTCAGCACCAAATGGGATATAATTTCAAACCTGGAAAATACAAGCTCGCTAAGGGATATGATTTAATAGCATATCATCCAAATGACATGGATGAATTTACTCCGAGATATTTGGTGTCAGAGATAAATGATAATTCAACTATCTTCATGAAACGCGTAAAAAATAGAGACGGAACGAAAGAAGAAAGGTTATGAATGCGGATGACTTAAATAGGGAACTTGTTAAAAACGGTCTCGGAATATATGAAATGCCAGCAGATGAGGTACAAGAAACTCCACAGGAAGAAGTTCAGATACAACCAGACATGGAAGAAATAGTTCAGCAACAACAGCTAGAAGAGCCTGAAGGAAACGAACAAGTCCCTCCTTTGGAAACTAACTTCACAGAACTAGATGAAGATTTGGAACAGCCGAAAAATCTTGACCCTCAACAAGAGTATGCGGAGAATATGGAATCTTTCCAAGAGTCTAAGAAAAATTCAGCTGACATAGTAGAAGAATATCGAAAAATGTTCGCCGACATACAAAAGACTCCAACATCAGATGAAAATATTCAGCATAGAATGGAAGACTGAAAGAAAGTGTACGCAAATACAACAATCCTTTTTACTTACGACCATATAACGTTCAATCTTTGGCTGAACTCGGTGAAAATAAAAGGTTAAATTTCAACAAAACATATAGAAATGAAACATTGTTTAAAGTTCATTCAGAACCTAACCAATATGGAAACAAACCTACTTTTGTTTCTGCAGACTATGGAACTACAATGAGATGGGGTCATAAAGCTAATCCGGATAGGTGGTTCATAAACTTACAACCACAATTCCAAGAAGTTGTAGACGCAATGGAAGTGAATGGTGAACCAGATATAGCTGGTATTTTCAGCGCGGCTTTAATGCCATTGAAAGATATGAAACATGCAGATATTTTGGACCAGTATGAAATGAACATGGCTGATGGAAATATAACACCTGACGTTCTAGAACATTTATCTCAAAGAACTACACAGAACCATAGAGATGGTATATTTGGTGAAGAGTTTAGAAAGAAAGTTAGGGAGAGAAGGAAGAGAACCTATTGTACATGACCTTGCAAACGAAAGTTTACAAAATGTCATAAAAACTTACTTTGCAGACAATGAACTGAGAAGGGATGAATATTTAAGAAAACTCAAATGGACAGTACCAAATGAAATGTTAGTATTGAAAAACATGTTCCTTGACAAAATAAAACCAACTACAGAAATAAATGACGCAAGACTGAAACATTGGGTAAAAGCTTTCCCATTCACAAAAGATATTATTGGTAACATGGAAAGAAAACCAGAATGGCTACAAAAACATATATTTGGAAACGAGCTTATTCCATATGGACAAGCTCTGTTTGAAGAGCTTGAACCGGAAACTCAGGAAAGAGTCATGCAAACAATACGCGAAGACTCAAATACAAACTATGACAAAATCTTTCTAGGATATAGGTTACCTGAGATGGGCGACCAGAGCCCAAAGGCAAAAAGGACATGGGAAATTTACAACATACTAGGTGAACATGAGGCAAAGATGCAACAACTTGAAGCAGAGGGCAAGTTACCAAAAGCGACACCAAAGAAGAAGAGTAGAACAAAGTGAAAGTAGTGAAGAAGTAACTTCATCTAGTGAAAGTAGTGGCAATGAAGGAAAAAGAAGAGTTAAAAAAAAACTCAGTCAGGAAGAAAGTAAAGCTTGGTCGAGTGGGTTCTATTATGACACATAAATCCAACTATTCTATATTTTTACCCATATGAAATGTACGCCGCTCAGAATATAACGCCAACAGTTTTGGATGCCATGAACGGAAATGTTTCCGAATGGTATAACGAATGCGACAATGCCATTAGAAGGTCAGAAATAGTTCCTGGAACTTACGAATATACAACTGCTGTTTCTTATGGAAACGTAGGTGAGTTTGGAGAAGGTTCTTCAACAACAGTAGATATTGCTTGCGACAGGTTTCATATTATTTCTATTGACAACTCATTCTTATACGTGGAACAAGACATTGAAATAAAACCTTCTGCCAAGTTGTCTGACAAGAAAGGTTGCAATGGAATTTTCTATGTCGGATACCAATATGCTCCAGAAGTTTTCATGGGATATAAGATATATTCTAACTCTGACTTAGTTCAAACAGTAACATGGGCAAACTATGAATGGTTCGCTTTGAGAAACTCAGTACAACCACAAGCTAGAGAACAAACAGACCAGTATGCAAATATTGAGAAAATAAGAAGACTTGACCCTAACGTTCCAGGAGTTTATGTTAACCTTTCTGGACAATGGAACTGCTGCCACTAAAGTAAAACTGAAACTTAGAGTTCCTTTGTCATCTTTCCTCATCTTCAGGTTTTTAAGATACTTGCCAAACTGGGCAGGAAAAATTTCTATCGAACTTACTCCAAGCAAAAATAACTTAGTCATTGCACCAACACAAGACCCATTCACATTACAGAGTGGAACTGCAAGTCATTCGAATTTTGCAAAGACAAAGTTGACTTAGACTTTGGTTTCTCAAACTTCAACAATGAAGTAAACTATTATTTCAATGCTGCTGGAACTGCTTGGGACCCAGTTAAGTTCACATGCGAAAAATTTGAATGCAAGAGAATAGAAAGCAGACTTGCAGTCTATATGTTGGACCCAGATATTTCAAATGCTTTAGCTGCCAAATATATTGCAGTTCCACTTATGTTCCCTATACACCAAATATCTGTCAAAGACTTTGCAGGTGAAGTTGGAAACCAAAGTGCTGACCCAGGTGCAAGAACAGATATTGCTTTAACAACTGCAATGAAA